AGCAGGAAGAAGATTGATTTTCACAAGCTACCTTGTACCTGAAGTAATGAGAGTGGCAAATTACTTGTTCCCTGAGCAAACATGACAGGAATGTCATAGAGGGAATTTATATATATGCAAATGCACAGGGGTCACATCAGTGTTATTTTGACAAAGCGACCTTATTCACCAGGGGGCCATTTTTATATCTGCATTAGTCTACACTGAAAAGGCTGAATAAGACTGCAAATACCTGCATTGTGTGGAACGTAGCAACTAACACAACTAATAAATAATGTACGATTCAACACAGTAGAGAAGATAATTTAAATGGCTGCATTATTTCTGTACAAGAGACTTGGGGTCTCAAGTGATTTCTACTACTCATTTCGGCTTTTTCTGAAGTAGCAAATAAAATATTTGTCATAAAAAGAAAACTAAGAGGATGTGGGATTAATTTTCTATCGGATTTTTGTCTCAAGCATTTTGTCATGACTCAGTAGAGAAATAGGCTTATGTATCTCATTGCATTCACGGGGTCTGTGTATTTGCAAAAGGCAAATGGACCTTACTGACAGTGAAACTTCCCACATATGTAGAGCAGGAATGAATGAATTTTGAACAGTTTCAGAGAATCTGTTGTTTGTAAAGAAGAGAAAAACAAGGAACAACAGATATAAATGCTGCTACTCCTAGGAAACAGATGAGCTATTTTGTGTAGAAGCTTTTAGAGGAGGAATAAAAGCTATTGTTTCCTTACATTTTTTACTCCTCAGCAGCGAAGATGACATGATTTTGTACTTCACCTAAAATCAGAAAGCAAGGCACTTTAGCACTGGTCATACAATATAAGGTAATTTCCATGTGATTCTCCTTTAATTCTGAACTGTCGGCAAGGTGACTGATCTCAAGTCCAGAAACAAAGAAAGAAGAAAGTAGAAACGCTAAGGCTTATGGATACTACATTGAAAATACACATCTGTACATGGCATTTTCAGTACATCTGAATGGTTGGACCCCATCTGCTGTTGAAAATAGGCTGACAGTGAGGTGGAGCAGTGAGAAGGAGAGCCTGTGCAAAACTGGGGTGTATTCACAGTTTGCTGTTGAGCCTCAGCAGGCAGGGAGAGGGATTTCTGCTGACATGGCAGTTTGTGAAACTCCTCTGCAGCCTCAGATATGGTTTCTCCCTGAGAAAAAAGTCCTGCAGTTTTTTGTCACTAATCACCAAAACAGCCTGTTTTTGAGTTCATACCAGACTGGTTTGGTTTCATGGAATGTGCTTCAGTCAAAAGAAATTTTAAGGAGCAAAAGAAACAAATCCTATGGATGTATTCCTTGCGTTATGGTGTCAGTGAAGAGCTGGGCACAACAGAGCCATCTCACACTCGGCCACTGCCTGTTTGAATTATGTGGGTGACATCTTTTTGTTATATTTTGAATGTGTTCCCAAGCCACAAAAGGAGCTATCTTTCTTTTTTCTTGCCTCAAAGCACATTGAAAAATGAACTCAAAACACGGCAGACTTTAATGTCCTCTTTTGTGTGAAAGTGCAGAGAATTCCTTGGGTTTATTTCCAATATGTTGGGTTAGAAACTGAAGGAAATTTTTTGTTACACATAAAGCTCATGTGTAAAATTGATTTTCAGATGTAGGTGTTTCCTATAGCGTGGCTATTCTCTGTTTTGACCAGCTTTGGCTTATGTGGCATTATTGAAAGCTGGATGGATCACAGTGAGGGAGAGGTTCTGCAGAAAAGAAAGTAAATAAAAGAATAAATTACTCAGAAAGAAAACTATTCAGGTTAATATCTATAGTTTGTCTGTGGAGCTCTTCATCACCTCTAGTAAAAGCAGACATCATTTCAGAGTTTATTTGTCCTACTTAACACAGCCAGCTATGTTAGTGTAATAACAGTACTGAAATGGACTCAATTTTATTTCCTGGATGCATTTACTTGGCATAGATCAGGGCTGCAAGAGGCTAATAGTTGTTTCATAGCTGAGGGCAGACGCTATCTAGTCCTAAGTCTTCTCAGTGCTTTATCATGGGCTGTTTTGCAAATCCATAACAAAGTAACCAGCATCAGGATTTCAGAGCCCAGGTGATAATGCACGCAATGAGATACTGATGATATCTCATGGCCCCTCTGCCCTCTCCTTTTCTAGTTGTTGACTTTGTTGATGTGAATCCATCCCAACCTCTCAGCTTCTTGGAGTACAAACCCTTCATTTTTTGTTTCTCAGCCTGTATTGCTACAGTGTGGTCCTTGTGTGTAGCAGGGCTGCTCGGAGCAGACAGCTTCCCATCTTGCTTGTGCTTATGCAGCCTCTTGTCTGTCCTTGGACTGACCACTGTGAGGGACAATGCACACGATCACAGGTCTGGGTCTAGGGTTTTATGGCATAATTACATTGAAGCTTAACATCATCTTCCAGCTTTTTTTTCTATTTGAGCCAGCTGTATCTTATGAATGCTTTGATCAGTTTTTTTTCCGTAGTTCTTCTGGTGGCCTCTGAACTAAAGCTAGTTTGGTGTCCCAAACTAGAACTGCTACTTGTACTGATTTTTCTGTTAATTATGTCTATTATGGGACTACTATTAGACACAATTCGGATTTTTTGTCCTTCTAAAGGCAAATACCACAAATAACTAGTGCAGAATAATGTGATAGGCTTGTGGTGCAGAAAATGGTGCATAGTTTTTCTCATGTTTGGGAAACATGGCAATGACAGTGAGGCCAGGTTTTCTGTGTCAAAGCTGAAACCCTTCCCTGACTTTGCAGGAAAGAGTCTCACTCAGTGCTAGCTTACTCCTTTTTGGTGTGCTCAGCTGTAGGCAGGGGTTTGTATCTTCACTCTGCCATGCATCCTGGGGGCTGCTCTTCTCAGGCAGAGAGGTTGGTTTTCTCTCTTTCCCCTGCCACTGCTGTTTTTCCTGATGCATTTACATTTTCTGATGTGCATTTGCTGCCAGTCTCGCAGCACAGTGAGGGAATCTGGCATCAGCAGAATACAGGAAGAAACTGTATTAGATTCAACCTTGCTTTAATGGTGCAAGTCCCACTGGGTTTTGAGCAGTGTTATGTAGGTGAGGAAGAAAGATTTGATTTTAATGAGAGATGACTTGGCACCAGCAGCATAACAGGTGTATATGAGAATCTAGAGTGAAAGAGTTAATTCACATTCTTTTCACAGAGATAGCTGTGGAAGAGCATATGCTGAATGTGCATTCCAGTCTCATTTTTTTGTTCTTATTTACAGTGACAAATAATGTATTTCCCTTTAGCTTTGAGTGGTTCATAAACCAGAGCTGATGATGAATATGCAGTTTACACTCCAAAGGCACTGGAATCAGTACAAGAAGGCAGACCTTAGAGTGGTTCACAGCACACTGTGATCTCTGCTGTGATTATTAATCAGACAGGCTTTCAGGGGCACATGCACCATCCTGGTTACAGCACTTGCTTACTCCTCTCTCCTTTTGCTTGATAAACATGATGTCTAAACCTCTGGGAAACACACAATAAATGTGTGACTTCTGTAAAAGAATGCTGAGCTTTGTTTGCTCTGAATTCATGTTTAAAATGGTTTGGTGCTCTCTTCAGTGGGTTGTTAGTTTCAGTCTTGTTTTCTTACACACAGCCTGCTCATCAGTCTCCTGGAGAGCTAGACTGGCAGTTCTGGGGGAAGTGGTCTGGTTTCAAGTCTGGAAGTCATAAGTGGAGTTGTGGGGTGTGTGTTGCCTTATCAGCATGTGGTGTTATATTTGAAAGAAATTTGCTGAAAGGAGAGGAATTGTTTTGAAGAAGTGGAAAATGATTTGGGACTTTGAACATATTACTGGTTAAATCTGTATTAGAGCAGTCTGCATCTCAGAGTTGTGGTTGCTCAAGATAGCAGTGTACACAAGCGGAGAAAAAAAGATGCACTTGGGCTCCTTTGGGTTTCTTATGAACATAATGTGCAACCATAACGAAGCAATGCATTTTTTTCAGCACAGAAAGACAACCTAGTTCCAGGCATTACAATACAGCAACAATTTTGTTCAAGTAATCAAATTTTCACCTTTTCTAGTAAAAATTGTTTGAAATAGTTATCGTTGTTCCATTGACCTATCAGCAGAAACATGACCATTGTGTAGAGCTGCTTCATAGTCAGGTCCTTAGGGTTCCTCCACAGGGAAGTGGGAGAAGGACTCCTTATTGTACCTCTTGCCACTCTCTGCACAACTGTAATCCTTGAGCACTAGAGCCTACATGTCTGAACTTGTCTTTTTGGCAGGTGGAGGGGTGTTTTGTCTTTGGTGGAGGTAACTGAGAAATAAGTCATGTGTTATCTTGTGCTTGAACCACTCTGGTGGCTTGCTGTCACAGTGAAAACATCACTGAGTGAGATGAGGGGAGCTCTGTGCAATTTCCCTTGGTGCAGTAAATCAAATCTTTTCATTACCCAAAGGTAGACAGGAGAGAGGGTAGTGAATCTGCCCTGCTCTACTTCATGTTTCCAAACCACTCAGTTCTTCCTAACAGGATTTCCCTGCAGGAGGATTGGAACACAAGCTGAAGGTCTATTCAAATCTGTTATTGCCTTAGGAATCATGGGCACAATCCAGAAAGAGCTGCAATCCCAAAAGTTAAAAACACTACTGTATGATCAGAAACAACTGCACTACCATGACTGGCTGCAGACACAGTAGTGGAACTGCTCAGTTTATCAAAACCTGCTCAGAGATGCATAGATTCCTTCTTGCCAGCTTTGTTATGAACAGTGTTTGTGCCCTGAGAGAAATGATGATAATGTTGAATTCTCCGGGTACTGACTAGGGTGGAGGAATGCTGTCAGACCGGGGAGGGAGGTTATGTTGCTGCTCTATGTACCTCATTTAGAGCTAAGCAGAATTTAAGAATTTAGAATTGTGAGCTGGACACGTATAAAAACTTAGTCAATTCTCCTTAAATGAAGATGTATTTTTAAGAAATCTTAAGATAAATATTTAATATTGTGTATTTTTGTTTTCAGGATGAATAAGAGATACTTACAGAAAGCAACAAAGGGAAAACTGCTAATAATAATATTTGTTGTAACGCTGTGGGGGAAATTAGCATCTGGGGCAAATCACCATAAAGGTAAGAAATTCTATTCTGTTCTGTCATGCTGTTTTATCTGTGGCCTCCATCAACAAATTCAGAAGGGTCTGGTCTATGCAACCTTTTCTTCTCATGAGGTTCACTAATCAGCATCAAAGAGTTTTCAATGGATAGACTTTTACTAATCTATTGAAAGTTTAAGTGATTTTGTAATAATGGTATAGTTGAAAAAAATGTTAAAAATGTGATAAAAAAATAGTGGATACTTTTTGTCTCATAAAAATAGTTATATCAGCAGATACATGTGATGCAAATTAATTCCTGGAATGAACCCTAGAAAGAAACAGTTTTTAGTAACTTATATGATGCTTCTGTGTGCAATTATCTACCAGTACTAACTTCATGGATAATGTGTATTGAATTAAATTGTATCATCATCAAAAAAAGACTGCTGCTTTGCAGTATTGTCTGATTTCTGTGCTTCACTCCTAACCCCTGACCAGGAACTTTTTGTGACAATGTGAGATTTGTTTCCTCTTGGTCATGCCAGCCTTTAATACTTATATATATATACCAACACAAGCTGTAATGGATTATTTAATATTGTTAAAAGGTCTTCAGCATGTGTGTTCCTGTTAAACCTAACACAAGGAACAAGCTCTCCAGATTCACAAACTGATGCCTTCTTATAGGCTAATATAACTTGAAATGTGATCTGCAGTATAACAGGATTTTGAACTCCACTTCTCATCATCTAGAGTCTGCTGGCTGTTTATCTGCTTATACAAGATCAGAATATACTCTAACAACATGGATAAAGCTAGGGTGGGACATGAGCATTACCACAAGCTAAGGAGTTTAACCCAGAGGAAGGATTCCAAAAAAAAAGTTAGTTAATTTCTCTGGTACATGTACATTTTATGTACATTTTATAATGATCATTCTGATGATAGGATTTTATGACCAAGTATTTTTGTATATCAAGCTGCTAGATACTTTATGTTGTGTGAAGATACCTTTCTTCCAAATGCTCCACTGATTAAGGACTTCAGGATGCAGAGACACTTTCTGCAAAGTCTTGTACAAGTTGCAATTTTCCTCAGACAAAACAGAATCTGATGTGGACCTGCAGGCCACCAGGTGGGCATCATGCCAGACAAAAACCGTGCTGATACCCTTTGCTCAGCCTTGTTTCCCCTCCACACCAGAATATGGATTTCTGCTGTAGCTTCCCAGTTTAGTTATCCATTGGAAAAGAGCCAAGGTATCCTAGCCTGCATTCAGAATTCTTTTGCTTTGATTATTTCTCTTTAAACATCCAAAAAGCCGATATCCAGATCATTTTGATTCCATACACACACAAGGGCTAGTCAAGCTGTGCTTGCTTCTGTGGAAATCAAACTTTGCCAAAATATGCTTGCTGTACTTTTTGGAAAACCGATGAGTAAAACCTATCACCATGTATTTCATAGAAACAAATTATAACCATAAGGACAATTTTGGGATATAGTGCTTCATTGAGAACAAAAACATCCACCACCAGTTGTAGCTTTTCTGTGCAAGGGAAACCTCAGCAGACCTATATCATTAGTTATCTGGTCAGTGCTTGTTGTTTGAGCCTCAGCGTTAGAGCAGAGATAACGTAAGGAATATTTAAGTTAATTTTTTTAGATAAAAAAAAGTGCATCAGCCCCCCTAAAATTATTATTAGCTGTATTAGCTGTATGGACGTCTTTAAATACCTGCAAGCTAACAAAAAGCTCCTTTTTCTTTAATTTGTATCTTTTTATGCCTTTAACAAAATATATGAAGAAGTCTTGCAGGGAAAAATAATAATGAGAAGCATGACTTGAGTGTTTAATTTGGAAAAGCAACTACTTTACCTGTTCAATTTCTTTTGGAAAGAAAAAATATTCAGAAAGGTTTTGGCTTGTGGATTTAGTAAATCAACTACTCTCATTGTATATTGGGGATTTTTAAAAAAAAACAAAAATCAGAATTATGCAACTCAATTACCATTGATTTCCAAATATATGGAGAGTTCAAATTCCCATTGTGTCATAGAAGATATTTCCTCTGCTCTCATGGCAAAAATGGAGCTAAGGTACATTGGAGGAGAACTTGATGCTGTTCACTTTTGCATGGAGTTTCCAAATACTGAGAAACATGTGAGTTTTTTCAGCACTAATTATCCCTAGCATCATTAATCTTCATTTATAGAAGTCTTTACTAACATATTGACATGACAAACCCTAATGACTTTGAAGGAGCCCCTACAATTCCAAAAATCAATAATCTGCATTTTAAAAAAATCTTTACTTTCCTATTGACTAATTCATATTATTCACTAGGTGCACTAACTTTCAAAGCCATCTCTTTTTCAGAAAGCTATTGTTAAAGAAAAGAAAAAGTACAAGAAGAAATAGACCATCAGTGTGTGGAAAATTGTTTAATGAGCATTCTGCTCTCCAGGCAGACTTCAGGAGAATATAAACAGATGACTCTGACAGGCTATCGCTAGGCTTGTTGCGCTTATTTCAGGGATATGGCACAAATGAAAACTCCCAAGTCAGCAGCAAGGAAAATAGAGGCCAAGGCAGGGCATGGGAAACCAGTCTCTGAGGACCAATTGAGCAGGGTTACAAGCTAGGATTTCAGATTACATTTTTTCAGTGTGATGTGTGTGGGTGCCAAATCCACACTCTTCTTTCTTCTGAGAAGTCAGGTTTGAAGACACTTCTGCTCCCATTATCTTGATTGATGGTTGAAATTTCATCATTCTGGACAATAAGTCCAAGACCTAAAAATGTTAAAGAATGTTTAAAACAATGCAAATCTTGCTCTCATTTTTATCCCCTGCACTTAGGATTACGATTTCTTCAGCATGATTCCTGGCTGTGCATATACTTATATTCCATTTATCCTGTCTTCTGTAAAAAACCCCGATACCATGGTGAAGGGTGCCTTACCCGAGCACGTGCACCTGAGAATCAGCTCTCAGTACCAGGAACATTTGTGCTGCAGTAGCTACACATGAGGAGAGAGGCATATCAATCTCCAAAAGCATGTTGTCAAGTGTATGAGTTGAAAAACTGATAAAGACTAATCCTGATCCTCCTACACATTGCTAGCCCTTGGAAAACAAACAAACCTGTACAAACATATAGTGTTTGCTGGCAGATATGGCAGGCATGCATCAGTTCAGCATCACTGCCTTTTTGCTATTTCTGTCATAGGGAGCATGAATTGATTTGATGACCATTGTATCACAGCCCATGCTTAAGGAGTCAAGTGTTGAACAGACAACTACTGAGAATACTGACTTTTAAGAAAAAAATGTACTGATATTATGTGCTTATACTTACAGATATATGCTTATACTTATAAGCACTCCTTCCTAGAGAAGAGGCTACTGTGAAACAAAATTTCTACCCTAAAATGCATAAATCTGTGAATTGTTTGTTCACCAAGATTTTTTTTCAGTGATAATACAATAAAATATTCTAATTAAATGAAGAGTGCTTTAGAATCAAAGCATAGTTTAATATTTCTCAAAATAAAAACCAATAAATTCAACATTAATTTTAGATCCTGGAAAAAATAAAAAGGAATTTAAAAATATGACTAATGATGAATGCATGCATGCCAGAAGGAATTTGTTATGGAACCAGAAAATACTCTAGTTAGATAAGTAGATGAGTATTTTTTGACTTATCATGAAAAGTCATGATAATTTATTTTCATTAAAAGAAGTCAGAAGTTGAATTTATTAATCTGATGCCAATCATAGAGATAAACTAAACTATCATATGTGGTGCAGAATTGCTGCTCCTACTTGTCTGTGAATTTGCACTAAATTAGAAGTCTAAGGGAACATCTTTGTATTCACAAAGAGATAATGATTTTTGGTTTTTCCTTGCAGAGGAGAAGGAGCTATTCAGAAATCCAGCTGAATGAAGGAGCCACTGAGCCTCTAAAGCTGGTGTTTAGGTCACCCTTCTTGGATGAGTCTGCCTTCCTGTGCTGCCTTGCTGAGGCAGGAACACTGCTGGCACCAGTGTTGTGCTGTAGCCTGTGCCACCCGTGCCCAGAGTTTGGGAATGGGTATGACTATGAGAAGAAACTGTATTCCTAATGTTTTGAGACCCTGTCTAGATAAGAATAGAGAATAGGCCTAATGGTTACATAGGAGGTCTCTGAAGTACTCATTCTTTAGAAATAACTTCATTATGAGGCTATAGTGGTTTAGTATGGATTTATATTTGTCCTTTCTGTTGAGGATTTTACACTGTGTAGAAGACAGCATTCATAATACAGAGATAGAAAGTGTTTGTATTCAATTTTAAAAACAGAAAGTAACCTCAGTGCAGAGGACAGAAATCAGATACAAGACATCTCTTCTTCTATATAAGTAACAACTAGATAGCTACGTGCTCCTTGTTTTCCTTTGAGTGAGCCCAATTGGAGGTAATGCTGTTCTCTGGGGACATAAGATACGTGGTTTGAACTGTGAGCTACAGAAGGCACAAAATTTGGGTCTCCCAGTTCCACTATGGGGGCTCTTATATAGGGTAAGCTGATGCATACTCTTTTTTCCTCAGTTTGCACTTTTTTGAAGTTCCTGTACTGTAACATTTGTTGAGGGATCTGACCCTGTGCATAAATTCACCTTCTGGTTGTGCAGACCTGTCAAAGGACAGAAGAGTTGCTCTGCATGTTTCCAGGTTCTTTACTGGAATTAATAAAAAAAAGGCTAATATTTAAATGAGGGAAGTTGCAGGCACACAGAGGAATGTGTGTGGATGCCCTAGGAGCTGCCAGGTGAAGCTGGAAAGTGTGAGTAGGGTCTGTCAAAATATTAGATGGACACATCCACTCATGTATTATTTTTCTGTCAGTCCTGCTTCATTCAAAAACTCTTTTGTCATATTTGCTGTCTCAAACACAGTCCATCTTATCTCTTGTGGAAGTTTGGCCCAGAGATAAATTCTTTTAAATCAGAGTGCTTTGTGTGCAGCTTTTACTAACTTAATTCTAAG